GGCAAATAATCCAGATTGGTATTGATACCACAATAAATATGGTAAGTCCTGTAGAAATTGCAGAAAACCCTTCAGTTTCTGAATCTTCCAACCGTCTTACACGAAAACCTTCTCGAGAAACGTCACCGCCGATACACATTAACGGTTAGCGTAGCCAGCGAACACAAATATCTGTTGTATATCACTAACGCGTTGACAAAGTTTGCTATCTCGTTGATACAAGAGCAGAGGTTAGCGTTCTAAACCTGCAAATCCTTGCAGCCGCCCGCATGAAACAGTGTTCAAATTACAGGCAGCATATGGAAAGCCGACCGTCACATAAGATAAAAGGTATGTTTATCTTTAAGAGGACTGATATGTCTTGTGGGTTGAACGCTTATTCAGATCCTAAGCTATTCGGACAACCCCAGGCTAGCACTACTCAGCAACTTGAAGACCAGAGAGAAGACACGAGTAGCGAGAAGATGCTTTATTGCAAGGTTCAGTTTTGTACAGAAAAATCGTAAGTATTTATAGATGTTTGCTTAAGTTAAATCAACATCCTAATTCAGCCAATCCAATAAACGACATACATTGCTACTGACCAATGGTAGCATGCCACGTTGGAACTCCAGAATGTTCTGTCGTGCTCTGATTGGTTGGAGCTCTTTTTGAGCCTCTGGAGGCTCTGTTGGGGTTCTCTGGAAACCGACTTAACAAGGACCTATGCAAACACATTCACTATATTTTCGTTTTTGTGCATGTTTCGATGGCAATCATTAGTAAAGACCTTCTACAATATCATAATTAATTTAATCATCGGCATGTGCAAACGGAGGTTAGTAGATAGAAATACTAAATTATCTGTTTGTGTGGCTTCATTTTCTTATTATAAATTATATCCAGTTCCTGGTTAGCACATAATCGACCAATACTATCAACGGATGTTTCACAATTAATGTAAACTGTACTGAACACAACCAAAATTACCGTGTTTAACCAGAAGTTTCACGACTACAGGAATATTAAAATAATCCATTGATTTCATGCTGTCCGCCCAGATAAGAATAAATTCGTGTAAGCGTATATGACGCCACTACTTTTACTTACTTACTCACGCCTGTTACTCCAAATGGAACATAGTCCGCCGACCAGCATTCTGCAACCCACCCTGTCCTGGGCCCTCTTTTCTAGTTCTATCCAGTCCTTGTTCATTCTTCTCATGTCTGTCTCTATTTCTCGGCGTAATGTGTTCTTTGATCTTCCTCTTCTCCTTTGACCTTCATGATTCCATGTAAGGGCTTGTCTTGTGACGCAATTAGGTGATTTCCTCAAGGTGTATTCTATCCACTTCTAGCGCTTCTTCCTGATTTCTTCCTCTGCTGGAATCTGGTTTGTTGTCTCCCACAGTAACTTGTTGCTGATAATGTCTGTTCAACGGATCCGAAGTATCTTGCGTAGGCAGCTGTTAATAAACACTTGTATCTTCTGGATAATGGCTTTCGTAGTTCTCCACGTCTCAGCCCCATACAGTAGTACTGTCTTCACATTTGTATTGACAATTCTAACCTTGGTGTTGTTTGACAATTGTTTTGAGCTCCAGATGTTTTTCAATTGTAAATATGCTGCTCTTGCTTTGCCGATCCGCGCCCTCACATATGACGCCACTATATTTTATTAATTTTTTCCTGAGTGATGCACAAAAAATTAACATAGAGCTTCTTCAGTCCATGAAATCAAGATAAAATTAATTAACCATGTACAAATGAAATCATCAATCAGTACAAATACCTTAAATTTCCATGCTTAAGTTTTTCCAGTAGTTTTTTGTAGCCTTCCTATCTTATATAAAAAATATATTGTTCTAATGTTAAAGAATTGTTTTATCTGAATAGAATAAAGTTGAAAAATAGGCTATCAAGACATATAATCTGAATGATGCTACCGGCTAAAAATGTTACACTAGACAATATTTTCATTGGATATGTCCTTGAATATATAAAGCACACATTGTTCACATGACAATAGGTTGTAGTGCCGTGCTTCGATAATAGTTCACTTCGTTAACCGTTATTATACCAATCTTAACGGTGTATAAAATCAAAAGGCATATGGAAGCGGCAATTACATTTTTATTGATAAATGATGCAGATCAGTAATCTGTGGGCACATGAGCAAGTGTAAGCGAGCGAAGCAAAGATGATGCGCGATAGAGATGGCTGGGAAGCCAACTCTATTTAAGCAAGAGTTAATCAACATTTATAGTCGGACAAAAATGAGTGATAGACATATGATGAATAAGATATGAAGTGTACACATATATGCTCAAGGTTAATATGCAAATGATTAACAAGATCAAAATATGACTCATAATGGATAGGTGAATTGGCTTGGCCAGCAACTAGAATAAAGTATATGGGCTTAACATATAAACTGATACTACAAGGCTCAGAACAATTCAATGTAAACTCAGAATAAGTCATTACTTTACTAAAATCCAAAGTATCAACAAAAACTAAAAACATCTTAAATTATTAATGAATAATGGAGAGACTTTCTCATTTGTTTTAATTTTCTATTTTGTTTTGTTAATAATGCCTACTGTTAATGTAACTTTTATATACGTTATCTTTATGAATGATGGTAGAGGACAAATGAATTAACTAAGAACTAGAATACAAATTTATTCGGATATCTGTTTCTGTAATTAGATTCCCTTGTATATACAATGGTAATAATCAAAGTATAATTGAATTGAATGGACGTAACTGAACTTGTATTAACACCAGAATTAGACCTTTTTGTAATTGAAATGGATTTATTTTGTCACTGTGACTTATGAACACTATCAACTATATTAGAATAAAAATAACAATGACAATCGAATAACCAATAGTTGTATTGTAGTGATGTGAAGATAACATTGTATTAGACTGGTCAAATCTGAATTGTATGGAAATCAATACAAACTGTTCATAGTGGCAATTGGTCAAAGTGTCTGTAGTATATATAAATCAATATAATAGATAGACTGACAACAAAACAAAGGAATATTCATGAGGAATTCTCATGTAAGAGCAATCGAATTAATCATACAACTGAGCACAATTTAATCAATAGAATTGAGGCAATATATTTGATAGTGAAATGCTCAGTTAGATGTCGTATTCTTTAGTGAATATACAATTATGCTGATTAAACATATCTGTATTCAATAAAATACTAAGTTCTTTTAGTATAAGTATGAGGATTTGTGGAGATTGTAGTATTTTAAAAGTTGAATTCATGAGTCAATCAAATCAGGACCACCAGTAAAAATCTGGAAGCCCCGGACAACGGCTTTGTCTGATGTGTGACTGAAGGTTCCGGGTTCGAGCCCCATGTGCGGGATTGTGGATGCTCACTGCTTATCCTCTAGGCCATTGAATTGGCGCCCAGTGTTGTTATTATATAATATTATATTTAATCTACCTTATAATATTTTTTAAAGTTCAGAATCAAAACTGAAATTGTCTTCAAAATGTACTGATATGAATATACAGGTAAATCGGCTAACGGCTAACGATGAATCTGCTTTTTCTATAGTTGTATAGTGCTACATCGATTTTTATATTCTTTTGGATAAAGAAAAGTAAATATATAGTATTGTGTGATAGTTGTAAATTTCTAGAAACTTTTCTGTCTTATAAAATCAAATTAAACGCGCGCGAAACTGGTAGGTCCTGGGTTCGAATCTCGCGAGGCGAGATCGTGGATGCGCACTGCTCATAAGTCCTACAATAGGACAGAACGGCCGTCCAGTGCTTCCAAATTTTCCGTGGTAGTCTAGCTTCAATTGATTCATGATCTCAAAATTACAGTTAAGACATAAATTTTATCCTGTATGTCTCTTAATATTTCATAATTATAATTTATTGATTACCAATAGAGTAAATTATTATTTGTAGTGTATATAGTACTACAGTACTATAGACATTTTGTTTAAGAAACATTTTATCACAGTCCTAACTAAAAGTCGAGCATTCTCGATAAATAGTACTTCAATTAAGTAAATTCAATTTTAGATAGGAATAATACTGATGACAGATCAAGTTAAACAAACAGTGCTCATCACTTTACAACTGTAAAAATTACAGGCTAACTAAATTATACGTCAGTATTTGGTTTATTTTGCTTAAAACGGATTATTTCATATTACTTTTATTCATGTACATTGTTATTCTATATTCACTAATAAAAGTTTTATTCTATCGTTTAGTAAGTATTTTCATCTAAGATGGTGGTTGCAAGTAACTGACTGAAAATTCTAAACTCAATTTTCATGCTACATAAAGCTTGTCTTTCTAGATGTGACTGTAATTTTGAAAGAAACTAATGATCCTTAGCGAAATTATTCAAATGTCACCCAGCTTCACAGTAATAGACGTTACCTTTGAGCTATTCAGTTCACGAATGATCTTTTTCAGAATTAAAATTTATTTACAATTGATTGATTATTGATTAATGACTACGGTAATAATATTAGTCGCTAATTAATAATCAGTCAACTGTAAAATATTTTCCCTTTCATTCTATTCGCTCTTGATAGATTAAGGCTTTCTATATATACATTTTAAGAATTACGAGTTATATACCCAATCTTTCAGTTATATCGACGACGTGCTCTGTCGTTACCTAGATCATTACATAACGTGCAATCAGTATGTGTTTATTATATTCAGCTGAAATATTAAAGGACTTTGAAACCACCCTTATAGTAACTGATATTGTGGTGCGGTCTACTTATATCCATATAAGTAGTATATGGTGTGGGTCAGACATAGAATGTATTTTGGCAGAAGACGGATGAGGAAAGAACTGAAATGAAGCGCAATCGTCTGGAAAATGCATGAGCAATGGAATTAGAGAAGAAACAGTGAAGATTGAAACAATTGTTTGTTAATTTGCAAATTGACTGTTCATTGTTTGGTAATCTGAATTTACTGAGATAGTCTGTAATGTTTGCTTAAATACATTCGATTGTCCCCAACTAGTGTTCTGTTCACAACAGATATCATCTAAGAAACATGTAAATTTTTCTTAAAAAAAATATATTTTATTCAAATCTACAAAATAGAATTAGTTCCCAAATGTAAATCAATTAAAGTCAATCATAAAATCTAATTAACTATATTATCTTTTGTTACTTTCTTTTCTCTTTTTTTTTGTTTTTTTTTCCATTTAATTCACATCATTTTCATTGTTGAAAATATTGCGGGGGAGGGGTATTCATTTTTATTCCGCCCCCCCCCAAAAAGTGTTATTCATATTTTCTTGATATTTACTGATTTATACATATTTGTTGAATGTTTATCACTATACACATAAAATGATTTAAGAAAAAAAATGTATATCTTGTATAGTTTTGTTTGTTTGTTTTTTGAAGGAGAAGAAAGAGTAAAGTGTTTTATTAGTAAAAAATAAGTTGTTGCCAAGATGGATACAAAACACTTTTCTTTTGTTGTTGAAGAAAAAATATGTTCATTCTGACTAGGATAGAATTATCTAATGATTTGTACATCTTATCTATGAATAACGCAACACTCACTCACTCACTTCCATACACACATATAAACAGAAGTAAAAACTCAGGTGAATCAATGAATAAACATTTAAAGATACTCATAGAAACATTATAGTCAAACAAAAATAGTTTCTATTCAAATTCTTTACCTCTTTTAGTGTATGAATAGAAATAAGAAGAGAATGATTGAAAATACAAAACAAAAATGATATCTGAAAAAAAAGGAGGAACAAAAACAACATTTTGATTGAAGTGGATGTGTATCGTTTGAGTGAATCTATACAAAATGAGTGTATTTATCTATCTATATATATATACTACTGATTACATAATGTACATATTACATGTGTATGTGTAATAATGAAGTTTGAATATGCCTTTAATTCAGATCATGTGATATAGATGGATGTTTATGTAATAATTTTTTAATTGGATTCAATTTTGGTGTTTCAGGTGATATTTGTCTTGAACTGGTTAAACTTTGACTACGAAAATCATAATTACGCGGTGGTAACTGGAATGTAACTACACGATTTTCTGGTGAATAATGATGATGATGATGATGATGTGTTCTATTATATTGATGTAAACATGGACGTGAATTATTTAATGTTGATGGTTTCATAGATTTATGTGTAGGCAAATCATCTTTTAAATTTCTTACATTATTATTACTACTGTTATTATTATTATTAGTAGTAGTGGTAGTATGAGTAGTGTCCATTTGTGTTGAAGATGTAGTATCATTTTCTGTCACTGAATAGATCGTTTTTAATCGTTTTTCATGGTTATTATTATTACTACTAATATGACTGTTATTAGTAGTATAAACGTTTGTTAATTCGTCATTTTCATTTTTTATAAAAAATTTAGTAAATTCATAAAAATGTTTTTGTATTTTATCAAGTTTTTCATTGATTTTTAATAATTCTGATTTTATAATGGTAATTTCATTTTTTGTTTGTTGAAAGTTTGTATAAAGTGTTGAAATCAGCTGATTTTGTTCTGGTATTCTATTATTATTATTATTATTATTATTATTATTATTATTATTATTATTATTATTAGTAGTAGTAGTAGTAGTAGTAGTAGTAGTAGTAGTAGTACTAGTAGTATTGTTACCATGGTATAAATTGATGGACATATCATCTATTCGATTGAAGCTTTCATCTTGACAGTAATTGCCAGTATTATATCTGTTAAAACAATTAGAGAGAATACAATAATAGTGGGTATTCGTTTAAATTCATTATAACTAAGATAACATAAATGTTTTTAGCTGATTACAAATGATTGATAAGGTTTAAAAAAAATAAATTTTATTTCATGTTTTAACAAAATAAGTGTTATATCCTAGTGAAGACATAAGTACGGGTAACTTCCACGACCTATTAATGGACTATTATTCTATAGATATTTTTATTGTAAACAGAGATGGATAGTGGCCAGCAGTGGAATTCAGGACACGCGTTTTGCCCTATTTGAGATTCGTCCATCTCTGCTTACCATGCTTGTGAATTAAGGCTATATCAAGGCAATACACACAGTATGCAAATATGTCAATTAGAGACTGACCAGTTTCAGTCCTAACACATCGTCGGGAAGATTCAAACAAACAATACTAAATGAGTTTGATATTCTTATTGTTTAACTATTGAGTAATTAGATTGTGTATATCTATTTTCATTTTATTATAAGCTTTATTTTTACCTATGAATTATTACTGTACGATTTACTGTTCCTGAATTATACTCAGTTTATTGATTATTGTATCTCACGTTGACAGCCACATGTGTCTTGATCTTGTGCAAATGCTATTTTCTATTTTATGCTACAATGCGGTCTGATATATAAACCGAGTAAGCTTGAAATAAATGATTCGCATAGTGAAAGCTGTAATCGGTGTTTTTGCACTCAATTGGAAGGGCTAGGCGGACAAGGGTCCAATAAGAACTGATCATACCAGTTGAACGTCATTGATTTGGCACAGTGTTAAGATTGGTGGTTATAAAAAACGGGATGTAGATTCATAATAAATTGGCATTTGACTTATATTTTTTATAAAGTCATAACAATCAGAGAATGCTTTTTTAATTAAAAGATCTATTAAATAAAAGAATCTATCAGTACTATCATCAATAATATTCGGTATATTACTAATATACCTAAATGTTACGATCAGAAGGAGTATTTTATGGAGATTTTAGTAATTTTATATAATTGAAATCAGGAGTCAATTGAAGCTAGACCATCATGGAAAACGTGGAAGCACTGGACGACTATTTCGTCCAATTGTGGGACTCCTCAGCAGTTTGTATCCACGATCTCGTCTACACGACATTCTAAACCAGGACCTTTTAGTCTCGTGCGCGATCGCTGAACCTCTAGACCACTGAACCGGTATCCAAAGGTGTTAGTGTTTAATTTCCATTGTTTTTTTTTAAACTAATAGCTATTCATTCATTTATGTGAGAATTTACATCGATAATGTTAGTTTAGTTAATCATTATCAATATTTTACAAGCAAATAGATTATCACTTTGTTAAAACATCTTTTATATCAAGAATTTAAATATTTTGATAAAATTTACATATTTAAATGAGATAAAGAACACTTCTAGCTTAAAACACTAATTGAAAATGTTCAAGATACTGGTATTTTAGTGAATAAGAACATCGGTGGGGACAATCGAATGTATTTGAGCACAAAGTTATAGAATATCTCAGTAAAAGATGAGAACCATATAGTAAATAGTTAATTTGCAAACTATCACTTGATCGTCTCAATCTTCACCGTTTCTTCTGTTACTATCAGACCATGGTTACCGATTATTATTGTTTATGCATTTTCATACCAATTGCATTTCGTTTTCATTCTTTCTTTATCGATTTTCTAGTGAAATACATGTAATGCCCGACCATCGTTATATATAATACTTATGTGGATATAAGTAACCCACAGCACAGTATGAATTTGAATCAGTGATAGAATAGATAAGTACGAACATCATAACCAGATGTTAGAGAATCTGGTTGACATGGCTCAGTATCGATCATTGTGGTGTAGGCGTATACGCTCTTTGTCGTCCATTAAGCCTTAAGAATAAAATTACTTTATTTACTGTCATAAAAATATTGCTAATAATGTAAAGATTTAGAAGGTGAAATTTCGTCATCTAATTTTGTTATTTATCATTTAAGTTGTTTCTTGTGAATATCTTATTGAAATACAGCCATATCGTAGTGAATGAGAACGCCGAAGGGAAAGCCGGATGTATTTGGATACAAAATTACAGAATATCTTAGTAAAATCTGAAAACCATACAGTAAATACTTCATGTGGAAAATATCCCTCAATCATCTCAAACTTTGCTGTTCCTTCGTTTCCATACCAATCAACCTCTGTTCACGTTCTCTTCTTTTCGATCTTTTTAACCTTTTACCACCAGGCATTTCACTTTCGGTTGGTAATATATTCTAATTATATCTGTCGACAAACACCACAATGTGATACATGATGGACTGGTCAATTAGAGAAATAACGAATAAAAATTAAAAATTCAAAAGATTTAGGATATTCATCGAATATAAAGGAAGCACTATTGGGAATAACAACTTTTCCAACTGAACCTTGGGTTTTAACCAGAGGCATACAGACTACAACGATGAAGCGAAGAATGTCCTTTTCATGAATTCATACAAAAACCAACCAAGTACAATTCCTTGTGATTATCGGTTCAGTCACTAATAATTAATAGTAATTAATAGTGAATGACGATGCAACTGAAGAATCATACTTCTGAAGAATCGTAAGACTATTTTGAACAATATTATCAGAGGCTGGATTGGTGCCTAACTACATATCAGTAGTTTTTTGGTCAAAAAATGTAATGTATATGTAGGTTAATATCAGAAGGGATTTTGTGGATATAATAGTAATCAACAAATGCTCACTAGTGATTGACTTCAAGAGGTACTTCCTTAAGTTCTAGTGAAAAGCAATGAACATTGAAGTTCAACGAGGTCTGTTATGAGATAGTAACTCACGGAAGACATTAGTGTATGTGTCACCGTTGAATACTGGTTCAATGGTGTAGACGTTAAACGTTTACAAGCAAGACCGATAGGTCCTAGGTTCAAATCTCTCATAGGCGGTATTGTGGATGCGCACAGCTGAGAAATCCCACAATAAGACGAAACAATCATCTAGTACTTTCAGGTTTCCCCATGATGGTCTAGCTTCAATTAACTCACGAATTCAAACTCTTCTGATATTAATTTTTTTTTTCCGTTTCAAAGATATCTATGTTACATAAAACATAATAATGAAATAACTTACATCCATTCATTTCTAGAATAAATTCCATAAGATTTTCCATTAGAATGATTAATATCATTTAATGATTTACATTTATATTTTATATCTAATATTGAAATTTTCATTTTAGAATAATCAATAAAATTTTCCAAAGAATTTGATAAATTCATAAGAGGGTAATTCAAATCAAATCGTCTCTTATATAATTTATTATTATTATTAGTAGTAGTACTATTAGTAGTAGTAGTAGTAGTAGTAGTAGTAGTATTAGTAGTATTATTAGTAGTATTTGTTTTATTATTATTATTCAATTGTTCAATGGATAAGTTGTTATTGTTTAAATGATCTATTTCATTATTATATTCATTTGAAATCATAGAAAAATTTGATAATTTATTTGATTTTTGTAAATAATTTAAATATAAATCTAATGAATTTTGTTTAAATTTATTAAATTGATTTTTTGGTGGGAAATTTAAATTTTCAACTATTTTTATCGATTGATTATGATTATTATTATTGAATGGATTATCAAATTGATTATTTATTTTTATATTATTATTATTATTATTATTATTTGTATTGATTTTATTGATTGTATTGATTATTGATTGTTTATTATTTTCATGATTGATTTGATTATCTATTTTATTGATTATTGTCTTGTTATGTGAATCATTTAATAAAGAACATTCTTCATTGATTATTTCATTAGATTTAATATTATTATCATTAGAATGATCATTGAAAGTTATATTTTTATCATTAATGACAGTGATTGCTGGAATTAATTCCAAAGTTGACTGAAAGAAACATAAAAGAAGAAGAACCATAAATAAATTTAGGAAAGGAATTAGAAATAAGTAAGTTTTGACTGTTCATTGACTATAAGGTGTTTGACAATATGGACAGAAGAACATTATGGAAACTTTTTCGAGACTATGGAATTTCTGAAATGATTGTCAATAATATCCGGAACTCATACGATGGACTACAGTGCAAAGTTGTGCATAGAGGACAGCTGACAGATGTATTTCCAGTACGGACAGGGGTCAGATAAGACTGTCTACCCTCCCACTTCCTTTTTATTCTGATGATTGACTGGATTATGAAGACTTCGACATCTGAGGGAAATACAATGCATATCACAGAATCAATTAGACGATGTGGACTTCGCACATGACCTAGTCTTCTTATCTCATACACACGAACAAATACAGACAATGACAGCAAATGTAACAGCAGAGTCTGCATCAATAGGGCTCAAAATACACAAAGGAAAAAGCGAGATTCGCAAATACAACACGGAGAACACCAACCCAATCACATTTGATGGAGAAACTCTTGAAGAGGTGGATAATCACACGTACCTGGTCAGCATCATTGATGAATAAGGAGGATCTGATGCAGATGTAAAGGCAAGGGTTGGAAAATCAAGGACAGCATTTCTACACTTGGAGAATATACGGAACTCAGAACAACCATCAACTAATTTCAAAGTGAGAATCTTCAAGATAATCAGTTCTACTGTATGGAGCTGAAACTTGGAGAACTACTACAACCATCGTCAAGAAAGTACAAGTATTTATAAACAGTTGTTTACGCAAAATACTCAACATTCACTGGCCGTATACTATCAACAACAGCGTTTTATGGGAGAGAACAAACAAGCTTCCAGCTGAAGAGGAAATTAGGAAAAGGTGACCGAATTGGATAGGACATACATTAAGGAAATCACCTATGTGGATTACAAGGCAAGCCCTAACTTGGAATCCGGAAGGAAAACGGAAAGGAGGGAGGTCAAAGAATATATTACGCCGGGAAATAGAAGTAGGTATGAAAAGGATGAATGTTAACTGAAAGAATTGGGAAGGATTGCCAAAGACAGGGTTTAATGGAGAATACTGGTGGGTGGTCTATACTCTACAACGAGCGGTAACAAGCGTATGCAAGTAAGTAATATTGTATTCAAATATGTTGATATATATATTCGATATCCCATGGAAAAAATGTGTTGAAAAAATCTTTATTTAATTATTTTTCATTGAATATTTTACAGCCTGATATTATTATATAATGGTACCTATTAGGTAAGAGGTATTATCTCAGTCGCAAAGTTTCCAACAATGGATACCGTCTGTAATACGTTTGAAGAAATGACGGTATCACCTGAGACACAAGAATAAGAAAAGATAAGCTATTCCTTTGCACCTCATCTCTGCTAAGTAGAGGGAGAAGATCAGATTCAGTCGAGGGAAATATATATTCCACATGTCATCAGAAACACGAACGGACAAGTATACAACTCATGTGTACATATACAGTACAAAAAAATAATGTACTAAAAGAGGGAACTAATTAATGACATTTAAAGTGTCCATCTAAATGGGTAATACAAACTGAAGGTAAAAGTGAGCATTTTCGACGCGAAAATGAGATATTCGAATTTCTGAAATATACTTACAAAAATAAGACGTTCATCAACTGATTTCTGGGGATCTAGCATCCTCAGAAGTCTGTTATTCCGGTGTTAATATATATAGAGGTAAGGTCTTGTTATTACAACTATTGGAAATCTGTGAAGTTAATATGAATCAAAACACTTGTGAGTTATAGTGTATACTCATAAAAACGTATATTTCACTATTGATCTCTTGTTAAGAATGGATAATCCATAATGTTACCATCCGTCATAATGATACCAGCAATAATGTTCCCGAAAATTCACCATGTAAAACAAAACTTCAATGAAAGCCAAAGATGCGCTACTGAAGAAGTAGCTATAAAATCATGTCTATTATATCAGATGTATCGACTACGACGTTGTGTATGTTGACAAGACAGACAAACAACTGATTGTAAAGTTCCAGGAAAAAATATTTCTAAATTTTCAGAAAATAGCACAAAGGTTGAGTGCAGCATACAAGATCATTTCAATATTGTAGTATTACGAGTGATGTTTAAAATGAAAAAGAATAGCTCCTGGTCAGTTTGAAGATTGATTAAATAGTTCACAACTTTTTCAACGTATTCAAGTAAGAAGGGGTTTTTGTGGAGATTTAGTATTTGCATAGGTAAAAGCGTGAGTCAATTGAAGCTAGACCATCAGGGATGCACACTACTGAGGAGTCCCAAAATAGGACGAAAAGGCCGTCCAGTACTTCAAGGTTATCCCTGGTGGTCTAGCTTCAATTGACTGACGCTTTCGACTATGAAAATATTCAAGTAAATTGCTCCGTTCTAAGTGATCTAAACATTTAGGCAGCTTTTAAGTAAATAGTTTTTCCATAGATCAAAAGCTAATTATGCCATCTGGATATTGATTACTTGTATGTTATATATGATATTCCCAGTTGACCAAAGGTATTCGGTTTACGAAATGGGGGTTGTCATGTCACTTGCAGATCAATGATTATAAAAAAATGTTAGAAAGGAAATCCAAATAACAAAAACCCTGCTAATACAAAAGGAAACAATAAACTTATGACAAAAATGCCGATGTCAAATAGAGATAAATAGGAACCTACCACCGTTTAAATGTATGTATTAATCCCAAACGGCACTTTAGAAAGTAAGGTAGTTTGGTGTTAGAATTAATTTTGTTTGTTTGTTTGAATCTTCTCATTTATGTTTAGGGCTGCAACTGGTCAGTCAGCAATGGGCTATCAAGACTCAGTGGCCGAGTGGATAACGCGATGGCGTTTGAAGCGAAAGGTATTGGGCTCGAGCCCCAGTGTGAAATGTAGGCACATCCACCTGACGAGTCCCGAATTGGACGAAACGCGCGTCCTAGATTCCACTGCTAACTACTAATCATCTTGGATTACAGTTAATTTAATTTAATTTTTTAAATGAATAAACTTTACAGACGATTCATAGTTATATATAAAAGATTTAGTAGTAATGATAGTTCTATAATAATTATATTAGTCTTGTTCATTGATTGAATGGTTATTATATTCAATTTGTATATGTCGTTTTATTGTTCTCATTGTTCATAGATCCGTTATCACTGAACCGTTCTATCTATAAATGTCCACGATAACTTGAGAAACTTATTGTTGGGGTGATCCAGAAAATTGCTCGTAAAAGACAAGAAAGGCTCAGGAAACATTAAAAAGCATTTTTATCCAATCAGCGTTTGAATAGAAGTTTTGCCAGAAACATCAGGAAAATGAAAATTCACATATAGAGTTGGCTGATTACTACACTGGTACTATGTTTAGTAGCATTCTAGAATTTTCAGGAAAAACCCAAGGATTTCTAAAATATCATTAAAACCCTATATCTTTCTGTAAATGAATGAACCTTTGGAGTAAAGTACTTCTTGCATATTTTGCACCTTTTCTCTCGTGTTCAAGGTGTTCTGTAGATTCAGCATGGGGGTTACGAGACTAGCTTAGGAATCGAATATAGAGTTCAATTAGCAAGACTTATCACTTAAAACTTGAAAAATGAACAAAATAATTATAGACATATTATTGGAAAAACTACACTATCTACAATTGTAGCATAAGTTCAATGCCAATTCCATCTACTACATTTTGGCTATTCAAATAATTCTACAAGGTTTCTATTCATATTGATCTAATCTTCACAATCTACTCATAATCTATACTTTGAACAAAGCTACAAAATCTCTATTGAGTAGTCATAAATAATGATAGAATACATTCATTATCATGAATAGGATAGTTATAATCAATGACATTGTGATGTGTGAGCGAGAATGATTATAATTAGTTGTTTGTCAGACATGTAGATAGTGTGATAGGTGTTATATGTGTGTTATATATTCCGCTATCCTGATTATTATTGATTGACTATTCTTTGTTGTTGGATTGTGTTGGATTTTTCATATGGAAATATATTGACGTTCTAGTCAATCAGGCTAATCTCATGTTCTTAATCTGAGTTGTGTTTTGAAATTCTGTAGAATAGACACTGGAAGGGAATCTAGTGTAGGTATTCATCTAATGTAAATTAACATCCCACATACGTGTAAAAAGTGAAAGGACTATCATAACAAGAAACCCCAAGTGTTATAAGTAGTATCCTACCGTTTATAATCCATGACGACGGTGATTAAAACAGATCTACGCTTACATATTGAGTTAAAGTGAATTTTGTAGCAACAGAATGGATTATCTGAAAACCTTGTTGCAACAGCAAAATTCTCTAATTCCATAACTGAATTTAGATTTTATCCAGAAAGTGGAGTTACTTTTGAGGTGTGGTTTAAACGCCATGAGGATTTGTTTATCAAATGAATGTACAGAGTGGGATAAAAGTTCGAAATTGAGATTATTATTATTCGAACATGAAAAATTCTGTAATTTTATTCTCCCAAAGAAGTTAACCTACATAACTTTCAAAGAAACAATTGAATGCCTGACATGTATATTTAGAGAACGGTCATCAATTTTTCGTCAACACCTGAACCAAGGATAGGGAGCGAAGTAGTCGAACGTGTGGACAACTTCACTTATCTTGGAAGTTTGATCAGCCCTAATGCGTTGTTGTCTGATGAAATCTCAGCACTGACTCAATGAGCTCGTTTGGCTTTTGCCAAGTAACACGAGATATCCGTGTATCAATTAAGGGACGTTCTGTTCTACTTTACGGCTGTGAAACATGCCCATTAAGAGTAGAAGATATTCGTAAGTTACTAGTATTTGACCACATATGCCTTGAAAATATTTCTCGCATCTGCTGGGATCACCGGGCAAGTGAGAGTGAGGTTAGACACAGGGTATTAGGAAATGATGATGGTAAATCAGTTGATGAGGTTATGAATCTTCATCGACTGAGATGGTTGGGCCACGTGTTACGTATGCCTGAACACCGATTACCACGACGCGTTATGCTGACTAGTGTAGGGTATGGTTGGAAGAGAGTTAGGGGCGGTCAAACCAAAACATGGTATCAGTGATTGAAGTCACTAACTTCCAGTCTGAGCCATGTCGGTAGATGCAGACTACCTGGTTGAGGTGACTATCGTAACCAATGACTGGAGACTCTATGTGAAATGGCTCAGAATCGATCACAATGGCGTAGGAGCCTACACTCTTTATCTTCCCTTAAACCTTGAGATTAAACTTGTTTCACAACGTTCCTCCATCCTATACTATATCCTTATATACAACCTATCTTTCATATACTACCACCACTAAATTAACTATTTCTATGAATCCAGTGTTCATCTTGCTGTGCTAACGAGATATGGCAACTTAGATCGATGCATATGTGTGCCTGATCCTACGTTGTAGCTGACTGACTGACTGACATCAAATTTTTCACACTGAATACCAGTATCTTCAACTTGTAAAGAAAGTACAGGACGACTATGTGACGTAAGCAAGCATAACAAGAAATCCAAAGCGTTATAACAAGTAATCCAATTGTTTTTATAACACATTGAATGACAAAAAAGTATAGGTACTTACATTTGGATCAAATCCTGCTTTTAAATTAAATGATAATTCTTCTGATATGGATAATGCAAATTGTTTACGAAATTGTGGATATTGTTCAAATATCTCTTGTAATTGATGATCTAATGCTATACATTGTAATTCACAATAGGTTAATGATTTAACATTATAAGCAGAAAATCCTAATATAGGTAAATCATCCATATCACTTCCAAATATATCACATTTACCTACAAATTTATAAAAATTCATAAAAAGTTTGAATAAGAAAATTTGTGTGATGGTCGATATTCGATATTATCCTTAAATTTCATATATTGTTCGTCTTGATAACCGTTACTTGATAACGTCCTAATGGTGTATAAATCAGAAGGCGAATACGAAGGTTTGATTGCGTTTATTATTGAACCACACACTGATATCCAATATTACAGGTACGTTAAGGAAGCATGAAAGAGCAGTGTCGTAAAGCAGGCGAGTGAGCGTGAGAGCCGAATGAGTGAGTAAGCGTGTACAATACGGTGTAGCGCAGTACAGAGCAGAGCAGCAAACAGGATTAAGATGTACATATATATATATATATATATATATATATATATATATATATATAAAGTGGAAAATCATCGGATCAATTAAGCGATTAATAATAAGGCTAGCAGAATGAATACATGAATAGGCAGTAAGCGATGTTCAAGCGTACATAATAAAAGTACAGTGGTATAGATAGATTGTTATTGTATGAATGACTGTCCGTTAAATAAGTTAACAAAAGGGCTTAGCTAAATTAGATGTAAACAAACTCAATTGTCTGTGAGCTGCTATATCTGGACTATGTCATCAATAGTTAAACAATTCAAGATGATAATAATAGATGGTTAGAGACTTTGAATGAGATGACTCAAAATCGGTTCCAATGGCGAAGATGCATCCACTGTTTGTGTTCTGCCAATTTCTAATCTTCTGAATTCTTCACGTCCCTCCGGATGTGGTCCCCTAAGAAAACAACCTACTTCAGTTTGGGCACCTGTTCAGTATTGAAGCTATCACACAAATCAAATGAGATTTGTGCGAGGCATATATATCTGGTGCTTCCTTATACCAATATTTGTGTTTAAATAAGAAAAATAAATAAACTTCGTGTCCCTATCTTTTTTTCTCTTTCCAAATTTATTTCACTGGATTATATTTTTTCCATAACATCCTCAAACCCTAATCTTTCGGTTTACTGTTTATACTCTTACTACTTCTACCACTATGGGATTTGAATCGACAACTGAATCTCTGTGCTAATGTGGTATGGCAACTCGAACTGATTTACGTACGTACGAAGTTCTACGTTGCGACTGACTGACTGACTGATTGATGAAAACGATTTATAGGTCAAACTAAAGTTTAGAGATAGGAGAATCTAGAAATACACCAGTCTTGAGGGTCTACTAAATATACAAAATAATACTCCTTCTTATAATTATCTCCAAGATTATAATACCGCACTGTTCATCCTATTAAATCGTTTATACATGTATGCATTTACAACTTTTCCGACCTTAACACTGTGACAATCAATGACGTTCGATTAGTATGAGTAGTCTAGCGTCCTTAATAGTCCCTTGTCCACCTAGCCCTTCCAATTGAGTCCAGAACACCAATTGCAGCTTCTGCTATGCGAATCACTTATTTCAAGCATACTCGGTTCATATATCAGACAGACAGGCCACATTACACCATAAAATAGAAAATAATATTTGTACAAGATCAAGCCAAATGTGGCTGTGAACGTGAGAGACAGTAATCAATAAAGTGAGTATAATTTAGGAACAGTAAATTGTATAATAATAATAATCAATAGGTCAAAATGAAGCCTATAATAAGATGAATATAGATATACATAATCTACTTACTGAATAGTTATACAACAGGAATTTATACAGAATAATAGTCCATTTATAGGTCCTATAAGTTACCCAGACTTAAGTCTTCGCTAGGATATAACATTTTCATAGTTGAAAACGTGAGTCAATTGAAACTAGACCACCATAGAAAACTTGGAAGCCGTCCTGGAGGCCGTACAGTGCTTCTAGGTTTTCCATGGTGGTCTAGCTTCAATTGACTCATACTTTCCTTACCTCAGCCAACAATAAAGCGACATTAGAACAGGTTATAAATAACTTATTATTTCTCGCCTTCTTTTAGATTTTTTTCTCTTGTTTTCTTTCCTCTTACACAATTGGTACATTTCTCTATTCATTCATATGTAACTGCCATAAACATTCAACATCTTAATAGAAAGATTTGATAATTCTCATAATATATATTATATAATCGATGGCTGCTTATGGCGAATTATCCGTTCATCTCCGAATAGTAATCACTCTATGCAATTCATCATGCATCAACGTCGTTATTGATTTTCATAGTCATTTTTAAATTTGTAACATTACCATCTAACAAATCAACACTTGACTAATATTATGGTGTGTGCAACGAATGTTGACAGATATAAGTAGTATGTGTTATCAATAGAAAGAGAAATGCCTGGAGGCAGAATGTTAAGAAGATCGAAGAGAAGAGAAGAAGATCAGAGAATGATTGATGTGGAAATGAAGAAACAATCAAGTCTGAAACGATTGATTGACATTTTGCAAATAAAGTATTTACTGTATGGATCTTAGATTTTACTAAGATGTTCTGTAATGTATTAAAAGTCATCTAATTGTTCCCACTGATGTTCTCGTTCACTACAACATGAACTTTATTAATTTAAAACAAGCGTATATTTAGCACTGCCAACTTGAAAAATTTATTTTTATTTATTTATTTAGACACATAAATATTGGTACAAGGAAGCACCAGATAAATATGCGCCACACAAATCGAATTAGATTTGTGTGAGGGCTGTGATACTGCCCAGGTGCCCAAACCGAAGCAGATAGTTTTCTTAGGGGAACACACTCGAAGCCTTTGACCTGAATGTCTGATCCACAAGGCAGTGGAGCATCGTGAGGAAATGCAGTCCCATGGCAGCAGGTGACCAACGATAGGTTCATACGCCATTTGTTCCATTAAGATACTGGAGCCCATATGCACCATTGATTTGGAATCAGGGTTTTTCAACTCCCCTAGGTGAACTCACCATGTCCACCAACCCATAAAAGCTCCGGACATTCGCTTTTCGTCCTCTCAATTTCGTAAACAATGCCCCCACCATGAGAAGGCTGTGAGTAGGACTTTCCTGTCAGAGGCTGTATACACGTGGCCATGTGAGAGAATTTCGAGAGGGAAAGCGGAGCCTCCCCACTCTCGGCCGTACCAGGACATTCGGAGTCCGAAGACTTTCTTAGCCCTATTCACATATTTTTAAATATTGTTGTAGCTGGTCCTATTTCAAGACCACATAAGTTATTTTAACCTCTGGACAGACTAATTTATTCACTCTACTTAAGCCACATTCTAGAAATGAAGAATCCCCCTGGTGGAATAGGAAAACCCTGATTCCAAACCAATGGTGCACATGGGCTCCATGATCTTGAGGGGAAGAAAGGCGTATGGAGCTGTTGTAGTCACTGGCTAACATGAGACTGCACCTTCCAAAGTTGCTCCTCTGTCTTGTGGATTAGAACTTCAAGTCGAAGGCTGGGGATGTGGCTCCTGAAGAAATCCACTTGTTTCGGTTTGGGCACCCGTACAGTATCATAGCCCTCACACAAGTCAATGATAACTGCTACTGGCATCATTGCTATTGTGTGGCGGGTAAATATTTGGTGCCTCCTTGTACCAATTTTTATGTGTTGAAATAAACAAATAAATAAATAAATACATATTGACCTAGTCAGTTATTCGCTTATTAACCCTGATTGTTTTTATATGATTGTATGTGTGTTAACTACTTACCCTATTCATCATGCGTCTGTAATTTATTTTTGTTTGAAGATAAATATTGAGTACCTCTCTATCGAATGGAGTTATCTCACTCTCCTTCTCTACGATGTGTCATTTCGTTCCGCTTCCCTTCCTCCTCTTGACTTACTTCGCGTTGTTTCTCTTATCGTCTGTCTGGATCAACGATTGTGTGAAATATACGTATTTGAAATTCATTCTCGTATCTGACTTATTCAATTCCTTTATTCACTGACACAATTTAAGTCGATGATTATATAAAATTAGGTAGAATGAATGAAATGGAAGATGACATCTCAATAGATGAAAACTTGAATTCTACTAGTCTTATTATGAAGTTACATTTCATGGATACTTACAAAAACATAGACTGGGAAAATTTTAAATTTAATTAAATAAGGAAAGATTTTATACCTTCAAAAGATAGTGATAAGAAACTTTTTGTCTTATTTTCAGTTTTATTGAATAGTAACTGTGATACTACATGTAAATGTTTCTAAAAATGTATACTACTTGTAAGTAGATAAATATTATTGACAAAAGTGAATTATCACCATGGCGTTTTGAAGATTAGGTTTTTGATTGAGATAATGAATCGAATAGTGTTAAACCACCATTGAAAACCTGTAAGCACTGGACGGTCATTTCATCCTAGTGTGGGACACCTCAGTAGTGAGTATCCACGACCCCTCACGTGGTATTTGAACCCAGGGCCTTCGTTCTCGCGAGCTAACCTCTAGACCACTGAGCGGGCATCCAATGGTGTTCGTGTCTAACCTCGATCAATCCACGAAATGGCTCGATCACCTTCCATTATACTAAGGTACATACCTGTCTCTACCTGACATCGATTAGTTCCACTAGTCACAGTTTCTCACCAAAACTCGGAGACTTCCCTCACAAAGCTAGTCACTATTGAGCATATGGTAATTATCAATATGGAGTTTGATGCTAGTTCAGTGGACTAGAGGTTAAGAAATTGCGCGCGAGACCGCTAGGTCATGGGTTCAAATACTTCGGGAGGGATCATGATTGCGCACTGCTATAGTTCCAAAATAGAATGAAATGATAATATGAAATGATGTAAGTTGGAGGATACTTTTGAATAGTCCTTTAACTAATATTAAAAATAAAATTTGTTATAAACCATCCTTATAAACTGGATAGTATTTCCTTTCTATATGTACGTTAAACAGCCATTAAACAACTTTCTATAATACTATAGAATATGATTTCTTTTACAGAAATAAGCCAAACATAAAATCTAATCTAAACTAATTATAATTTATTATTGAACAAAAGTTCATATAACTGAAGTCATATGTTCAATGTGAATAATTCTATTTAAGTAGTATATTAATATCTTAATAAAAAAACACATTTACAACAAGTGTTTGAATTAGTTTGAATTTCACACGGTTAAAAAAAATAGAGTTCGTTATTGAAGTAAATCTAAATTAGACAGTGTATCCATCTATCTATCTATCAATAAGTGATAAAATGATAGATTTAGGCAAAATATAAGAACAATACACTACACTAAATAAATTCATTTAGTATTGTTTGTTTGAATATTCCCATGGATGTTTAGGACTGTAACTGGTCAGTCTCTTATTGACATATGTGTATTGTGTGCGTATTGCCTCGATATAACCACTCAGTAGCTTAATGGATAAGGCGATGGCGTTTAAAGCGAACATTACTGAATTCAAGTCCCAGAGTGAATATGAACTATGAGATGTAGGTACATCCAGCTGACGAGTACCGAATACGACGAACAGGATTCCACTGCTAGCCACTATCCATCTTTGCTTATAATGCTCGTAAATTAAGGCTATATCGAGGCAGTACACACAGTATGTACATATGCCAATTTAGAGACTGACCAGTTGCTGTCCTAAAACATCAATGAGAAGATTCAAACAAACAATACTAAGTGAATTCAAACTTCACCCCATTGCACAAACAAGTGGCTATCAGGACTCAGTAGCTAAGTGAATAACGTGATGGCGTTTGAAGCGAAAGGTACTGAGTTCGAGTCTTAGAATGAACATCAACTCTGAGATGCAGGCACATCCAGTCCCGAATAGGACGAAACGTGAGTCTTGAATTCCACTGCTAGCTACTATCCATCTTTACTTATCATACACCACAGAATTCATTTGAAAATTTCCATCATTCACTCTTTACATTCAGTATGATTCTTCCAGATCACAATTTATTTCTGTTTTTCTTTTTTTTTTCTCTTCAACTCGGTTTTCTTAGTCTTCTAGTGTCATGGTTTACACTTCTGATTGTTGTTACATACTACTTATAACTATTTACTTAATTTGCTTACACCAAATATATATAATATGATATTTCTGATAACTAGAACATAGTGATGTATTGTTTTTGTTTCTAGTAGGATGATAGAAATTGACGATAGCACCTGAATATTTTACTGATTGTCATTTGACATCATTAAATCATTGACAGTCGTTACAAAATGGTGTAGAACAGTTAAAAAGGAATTTAAATTTCTCTATTTCATTAATGAAGAAATGAAATTCTTTAAAATTATTTATATTTCTGATCACATGTTTGTATTTGTCTAGGTAATTGCAGACTAGATAGTAGGAAGCTCTCAGTACCATGTGAATTGTAATGATGACGGAAAATTTTCTGAAAATGGAATTTTATGATGTCATACATCACTGGAAGTATTGCTATTGTATCATAAGGTTAAATTATTTTTCTAAACGATTGGTGTCGTCATGCTAGGAAATGTGACTAGTTTACTTAAAAAAATACATTTAGAATTGTTGAATCTGGATATCAGATCAATAAATTAACTGTGATTTATAATTTGGCAGTACTTCTTTTTGAAGCATGTTAACGTTTATTTTTGTCATCCTTGAATCACATGATCATCCAGCATAAACTGTAGAATCACCCGAAGGTTGACTTTAACCAATGAACTTTCCATATGTTTACAGTTTAGTCAGAAGAACTTTAGAAGGGAAGTAGATATTAAGTTCTGTCTAAACTTATATAAATAAAATGGGTTACTCGTCTATTTTCTTAGCTCTCTGGTCTATATTCGACATTATCCTTAAATTTCATATATTGTTCGTCTTGATAACCGTTACTTGATAACGTCCTAATGGTATATAAATCAGAAGGCGTATACGAAGGGTTGATTGCGTTTGTTATTGGACCACACACAGATATCCAAATTTACAGGTACGTTAAGGAAGCATGGAAGAGTAGTGCCGTAAAGCAGGCGAGTGAGCGTGAGAGCCGAATGAGTGAGTAAGCGTGTACAATACGGTGTAGCGCAGTACAGAGCAGAGCAGCAAACAGGATTAAGATGTACATATATATATATATTTGCTCTGAAGAAGTGGCCAACACTAAGTTACGAAACGTCAATAATTCTAATTTCTATTAATCAGAATATTACATAGATAATCATTTTGTTATAAGCATTCTCTTCAATGCTCAGTTCATTTGAGTTAACAAGTTTTACCATGGTATTGATACTAAAAATTGTTATAAACATTTCTCTTCGAAAGTTATACGTTTACATTCTTTATCAAGATTTGTTTTTTGAAAAACTCACCCAGTAATCCGACAACTGTACCTTCTTCACCAAGTATTTCTAAAGAACCACTACAGACAAAATAGATAAATCGTAATGCATCGCCTTGATTCACAAGATATTCACCAGGTGTAGCAAAACGTGTAGTTATTAATTGAGCTAAACACTTTCGACAACCAGGACTGGCACTTTTGAATAAACTAAGTGATAGTATTTCACGATTCAAATGTAAAGCAATATCACCTCGTAAATTTTCAGGGAATGATTGTAAAATCTAAATTTGTCAAAAGAAACAATAGATCATAGGAATATTATTCATCATTGAAAATAATGGTATGCTTGTCATATTTCAATGAGCAGAAAATTAAATTTCTGTGTTTTCACAACTAAGTATAAGCTTTAGTTGTTTGAAGGGTTGCCACTCGAAATATTTGTAAACTAGGTAGTTGTTTGTTTTTAGTTTCTGACTCTTCAGCAGTATGAATCCACAGCTTAACATGTGGAAAAACGCAAGGCCTTCAAGTGTCACAGAAAATATTAGAATAGGGCAACTGCTCACTATAGTCTGGTTTTCACTGGTAGTACATTTAAAACAAACTAGTTGTAAAAATTACTTCAAACAATATGAAAATATCTACAATACTATCTCTACAAATAATATGTGTATAATCAAGAATGACAAGTTTTCAGATGAATTTCTCGAATTTCTATAAAGAAACCATGTTCCTTCAAGTTTAATATAGACGAGATTGAGCTAGCCATTCATCTCATAAAATGAATGTTGTTTCTGACCAACGGACATTGTATAGAGATTTCAAAAAATGGAATCGGCTAAAGTTAGACATCAACAGTGTTTCATGCCGGCCGGCTCAGTGGTCTAGACGTTAAGCGCTAGAGCGCAAAACAGATAGGTCCTAGGTTCCAATCTCGCGAGGCGGGATCGTGGATGCGTACTGAAGAGGAGTCCTAAAATAGGACGAAACGACCGTCCAGTGCTTCCAGATTTTCCACAGTGGTCTAGTATCAATTGATTCATGATATCAACTGTTAAAATTACTATAATATCTACAAAAACCCCTTTTCATATGAATCTAAATTACCCTGAATGTATTATAATTACAAAGAGGCTTGAATTATCTCGATTATATCCAGTCTAAAATCTTGAATGTACGATTGTGAAGCAATCTCTACCCTAGCTAAACATAAATGTATACGTATATTGTGAATCTAATGAAAATTAACTAGAAGTTAAACGTCTGTAAAGGAAACCTATACGCATATAATTGTATTAATTTCAAAATGTAAAGTAAAAGATATTTGATGTCAGTAGGGATTTTGTGGAGATTTCAGTATTTTCATAGTTGAAATCACGAGTCAATCGAAGCTACACTACCACTAGAACACCGTTTCGTCCTACTATAGGACTCCTCAGCAGTGCGCATCCACGATCCTGCATTCGCGAGAATTGAACCCAAGACCTACCAGTCTCGCGTCAGAGCACTTAACCGATAGACTACTGATCCGGTATCCAACGTTGTTTTTGCCTAACTTCAACCAATCCACGATGTTTGAGCAACAGTTCACCAATTGTCTTGAGTGAGTTGATGTCTCTATAACAGACTTGGTTGAACTCCACTGGTCACTGCTTCTCACTAGAACTCCAGGAACTATCTTTTGAATCCAGTCACTAGTGAGCATGTGGTTATAGATCAGAAGGGATTTTATAGGTATTTCAGCATTTTCATAATTGACATCATGAGTCAATTGAAGGTAATCCACCAGGGATGCACACTGCTGAGGAGTCCCACAATAGGACGAAATGGCCATCCAGTGCTTCCACGTTTTCCATGGTGGTCTAGCTTCAAATGACTCATGATTTCAACTATGAAAATAAAAAATATTTGATCTTAACAGTTGAATATAAGTTAACTGGCTTAATGATTCGTTTAGTTTGTTACTCCATAGCTTAACAAGGTGAAGCTATAGATGGACGTGTATTCTGTCTTAAATTTTTGGTATGATCAAAGATGACAAGTCGGGTTATTGAAATAATGACGCAACATTTCAATTTCATTTCTTTATACATTTCTGAGGTTAGTCTTAGGATACGAAAGTACTTCATAAATGAATGCGATTGGCATTAGATCACATCTTTTATGAATATTATTGTTTTGGATAAACTAAAATAACTGGCAGCCTGCTTAAACATATGGGCTAGGTGTTCCTGTCATCTAGATATTTCAACAAATTATCTAATTCTCTTTGTTTTAATACATCATTATGGCTATTAATCGCACAATCTATTTAGGTGCGTTTCTGTAGAAGTGTACAATTTTTTTCTGCTGTAAAAGTTACAAAACGCCTAATCAGAGTTATCGTAGTTTCTGTCAGGCAATATACGGCTAAAAAAATGTACATTCCTCAGATTTTGATTGGCTAGACTGTTTACTTTTAACTGGAGACCATTCATTATTTATCGTCAGGATCGATCAAGAAGTAAGAAACGGAAACTTGTTGAAAAAACGTCATGCTAAAAATTCTATGTTTTACCAAAAATATCATATTGAATAAAGCTACTACTTCTACTACTTCTACTTCTACTATAACTACTACTACTACTTCTACTTCTACTACTACTACTTCTACTACTACTACTTCTACTACTACTACTACTACTTCTACTACTACTACTTCTACTACTACTACTTCTACTACTACTGATATTAATAATAATAATAATGAACAAATGTTTTACATTCACTAGATTAAATATCATAAATCTGTTCAAATAATTAAATCTGATTGAAATAAGTATTACTATTCACTATATATATGGTTATTATATTGATCAAACTTACAGCCTCTTTATCTATACCACGATTAATAGCCCACATAGCTTGAAAAAATTCAAGCATACGTTGTTTCAATGGTTTTGGTATATGATGTGCACGTGTAAAATCTTTTAAATCTTGATTTTTTGTTTGATATGCTGAACGTCTTGAATACATACGTTGAATAAGTGTTGTTACATTACCAAATACTGCTGCATGCATAAGAGCTGATGAGAAAGTAATTGGAAAAAACAAAACAAAACAAAATTGTAGGAAATCTAGTTAAAAATGAATTTTGTGAAGAGCAATTCAATGAATAGTAGTTACTTACTTACTTATGCCTGTTAATCCTCCTGAAGGAGCATAGGTCAACCACAAACATTCACGATACAACTCTGTCATCAACAATACTTTCTAGTTGTTTCCAATTGCTATTCATTTTTTTCATGTCTACTTTGAATAATCGAGGTACTGTGTGTTCTTTGATCTTCCCCTGTTCCGTTCCCCTTCAGGATTCCAAGTTAGCACTTGCCTCGTGATATAATTTAATGAGATCGTCAATGCATGTCCTATCCACTTCCAAAATCTTTTCCTAATTTCCCTGTTAGATGGAAGTTAGTTTGTTCTCTTCTACATAGATTGTTGTTGATGGTATTTATTCAATGGACATTGAGTATCTTTCTTAGAAAATTGTTTATAAATACTTCTACTTTATCGATGATGGTTGTAGCTCTTCTAGGGTTACTACCGGTTGCAAGCCGAAGAAATGGAGGAGTGTTATACATGTTAACAGAAACCCCATCCCACAAAAAAACAACCTTGCTAAAAAAAACCTAACCAGAATAAATGATTAGTAGTTGCTCTACATTGTAAAAAAAAATTGAATTCGAAATTGTACCATTTAACGTCAACTTATTTAATTCTAATGTTTAAGTGTTCAATACGAAACCCAAAGTTCCAAGGTCCGATCCCTAGTAGATTATTATGTACACTATATCCTGAAAAATTTCATAGTAGAACTAAATGTTTATAAAGTGTTCCCCTATTTCCTATGGTATTTCGAAAATTTTACTTTCATAAATAATATTCATTATGAAATGAATATGAGAATCCATGAAGTTGATTGAATTGTATCTATATCAATCAATAACATGATACACTTTGCGAATTACCTAAAATAATGTAGCATAAAGTATACGTGATTTTATTATTTTGCACAACAGTGATATTCATTCAGTTACCAAATTTTATTGGTTCCCTAATTGTATGAACAAAATATTCATAACAGTTCAATAAATTTATAACTATAGAGATTTATGGGGATTATTTTCAATTTTATACGTTATTATTTTTTTTGGAGTTCGAACCATGTCTGTTGTGAGATAGGAACTTACTAAAGACAATTGGTGAACGGTTGCTCAACTTCGTGGATCATTTGAAACTAGAAATTAACACAGTTGAATGCCGGCTCAGTGGTCTATCGGTTGAGTGCTCTGGCGCGAGACTGGTATGTTCTGGGTTTGAAATTCCCGTGTGCAGGATCGTGGATGGGAACTGCTAAGGAGTCCCATAATAAGAAGAAATGGCTTTCCAGTGCTTCCAGATTTTCCATGGTGAACTAGCTTTCCTATTATGGGACTCCTCAGCAGTGGTCTAGCTTCAATCGACTCATGATTTAAACTATGAAAATACTGAAATCTTCACAAAAACCCTTCTGATCTATAATCATATGCTCACTAGTGACTGACTTCAAGAGAGGTTTCCTTTTGTTCTAGTGGGAATCAATGATCAGTGGAGTTCAACCAAGTCTGTTATAGAGACATCAACTCACTCAAGACAATTGGTGAACGGTTGCTCAAACATCGTGGATTGATTGAAGTTAGAAATTACCACCGTTGGATGCCGACCGGCTCAGTGGTCTATCGGTTAAGTGCTCTGGCGTGAGACTGGTATGTCCTGGGTTCGATTCTTCCTCGCGATGCGGGATCATGGATGGGCACTGCTGAGGAGTTCAATGATAAGACGAAACAGTCATCCAGTGCTTCCAGATTTCCTATAATCTAGCTTTCAACGCTTTTAACTATGAAAATAGTAAATCTCCACAAAACCCCTTCTGATAATTAATATAATCAATAAAAATCAAGAAGTACAAGGTAACCGTTTCCTTCTAATATTAAATTACGAATCCGTATTCATCCAAGACCCCACTGCCAGGGAACAAATCCAAGGTCCACTAGTAAAAGTATTCTTATTTAGAACACAAAATCCATTTTTATTGATAATAACTATTGACATTGAAGAGATAGAGAAATGATTTTTAGATTTACTTAGTATCTATCAATAGAATTCGATCATTTTTTTAAAGGATTAAATAATCATGGGATTGGTTACCACTTATTGATCAATCAATTGTATCATTCATAAGATTGAATATATATTTTTCTCTATAATTTTTATTATTCGTTTGAGATTATCCGTATTGATTTTACTGCAAACTTTGGTATCAGGTGAACTGGGAAGTTTAAGGTTTATCTGTTACATCCTTATAGCCACATACCATAAACATACAAATGAATTCATTCAGTATTGTTTGTTTGAATCTTCCCATCGTTGTGTTAGGACTGCCACTGGTCAGTCTCTGATTAACATATGTGCATACTGTGCGTATTGCCTCGATATAGCCTTAATTCACAAACATGTTAAGCAAAGATGGATAACGCGATGGCGTTTGAAGCGAGGGTACTGGGTTCGAGTCCCAGAGTGAACATCAACTGTGAGATGCAGGTTAATCCATTTGACGAGTCCCAAATAAGACGAAACGCGCGTCCTGGATTCCAGTGCTAGCCACTATCCATCTCTGCATACAAATGGATTATTAGGTGAAAAATTTAGTATGAAATTACTAATCAACTTGGAAGTATTGAACTGCCGTTTTGTCCCAGTACGGAACCCCCTTGCAGTGCGCACCTACGATCCCGCATGCTGGGTTCTGATCCAGGACTTTTGGTCTTCCTCACGAACGCTTAACATCTGGACCATTGTGCAAGTATGCAACGGCGTTAATATTTAACTTAAACTAATGTTAGTAGACTGCTTTTATGGTTTGTTGTATTCGTTGAAATAATTGCTACAAATCTCTAGAATTGAACATTACTGCAATTTTCATGAGTTAAATAAGAAAACAAAAATCGATTCAAAACAAGATTCCGGACTAAACTGTCTGAGTTAGGAGAGAAGCTACTATCTCGATGGACCAATAAGAACTAAGTATTAAGCCAGGACTGCTTTTAGTAATTTATGTATCATTGGTCTGATCATATAAGTCGATGTCCCAATTTGCGATCTTATCACTTGATAAGTAACAAGCCATAAGGACATAATGATTATAACGTCTTTCAATGAAGAAAATCAAAGATATTACTTTATTATTCTCTAAAAATCCATCTAAAAAAATTAATTATTAAGTGATTAAAACTAGTCGACAGGAAACGTTTTCGACTTGCTCCAACATCTCAACTCAGTGATCAATCGTTTAGAAAAAAATTCTTATTTAGTTTTTAATATCATATTCCCTATGAATCGATTAAGTGATGTTGTACAATTTAGTTCAGTAAGTACTTATGTTTCAAGAAATCTTAATTGATTTTCCTTTTGATGCATTTGTGAGCTAGACAGAAAAACTAAAGAAAACGAAAGGAATTCTTAATTATCAGAAGGGATTTTGTGGATATTATAGTAATTTTAATAGTTGAGATCATGAATCAATTGAAGCTAGACCACTTTGGAAAACCTGGAAATACTGGAGGGTCATTTCGTCCTAGTGTAGGACTCCTCAGTAGTTCGCATTCACGATCCTGCCCCATGAGATTCGAAATCAGGATCTATCAGTTTCACGCGCTATTATTTAATTATTTAATTTTAAAGCGGAAGTATGTTGTAGTAGATAAAGAACTGTAGACAATTAGTCGCAATCACTACAGTAAATGAATCAATATATGTGGAAATAAGAACTGATTAAAAAACAAACGTTTCAACACTACATTCTACACAATTTAAATGCTTCTTGTTGACTTTGATTGATTTCGACAAATAATGATGAAATATATTTCTAGAGTTAACTTTGTGTATTTTCACAGACTTAATCACGTTAATTTCACTTGTTGTTGTTTACTTGTATCTTCGCATTGTTATTAAGGACTGCAATTGATCATATGTTCATACTGTACGGACAGCCTCAATATTGCCTGAAGTCACAAGCTTTATAAGCAAAGATGGATAGTGGCTAGTAGTGGAATTCAGCACGCGCATTTCATCCTATTTGCAAGAGACTGATCAATTGCAGTCTTAATTAACAATGGGAATATACAAGTATACAACAACAAGTGAATGTAAACTTCACCACATTGTACAAGCAAGTGGCTATCAGGACTTAATAGATAAGCGAATAAAGTGATGGCGCTTGAAGCGAACGGTACTGGGTTTGATTTCCAGAGTAAACATCAACTGTGAGATGCAGGTACATCCATTTGACGATTCCCAAATAGGACAACGCGGGCGTTCTGGATTCCACTGCTAGCTACTATCTATCTTTACTTATTCATGAAGTTAATTTTTAATGGAATAAAATAGGTTAAAGACAAGGATAATTCTGTATACATCTATTTTGTATATTCATTATTACAGACAGACGATGAAAACATAATCTGGACTATTCGATGAGTAATAGATGACTAAGTCCTGATGTAAAAATGAATAATACATAAATTACTGATGGTCAATTAGAGTATAAATGACAGTTATACATAAGATAAGCATAATAGAACTAACAAGGTCACAAATAATAAAGTACATATGGAGGTCATAAAGTACCTTGATTCAGTTAGAATAAAACATTTAATGGCCGGACAAAAATAGACTACCTAGAAGTGGGATAAAAGCTGACATGTTGAATTTACCCCAAATACTGGAATTGGACAGTAAAATGACGATAAATTAAACATGAAAGCGACCCAGTTTTCAGGTTCATTTTATATTTAGTAATAATTACCAATAAAGTCTAGAATTCATAGGTATTGGAAAATATTGGGTCTTATAAATAATAACCAGGTCTTCTGTGAGATAGTAACTCACTGAAAACAATGGTGGTTGGTTGCTCAATTTCGTGAATCGGTTGAAGTTAGACATTAACGCCGTTGGATTTCGGCTCACTGGTCTAGTGGTTAAGCGTTCTCTCGTGAGATCTATAGGTCCTGAGTTAAAATCTCGTGTAGATGGGATCGTGAATGCGCAATACTGAGGAGACTCACACTGGAACGAAATGACCATCCAGTGTTTCCAAGTTTTCCATGGTGTTCTAGATTCAATCGACTCATGCATTCAACTATAAAAGTACCAAAATCTCTAAAAAAATCCTTCTGAAAATTTCGATTTGTTTATTATACAGATCCCAGTCAGTTATATTTATACAATAATGGGTTATAAAACAGTTCTGTTTTGATATAAAGTTTTAATTTTAGATGTTTAAAGATAGTCGGTAGTATATCCTAGACTTGGATTTCATGTCAGTTAGGACTCGTCACCATAGTGTATCTATAATCATGAGATAATTGACACTTTCTTTTGTGACTTGAACCCAAGGTATCTAGTTCTATCGTTTGAAGCATAACCTATAAGCTGTTTCATATAAGCAGTAAACTGTGAGATACTTCTTTTGATTTAAATGATCAACTATATGTATTATTGTATAGATAATTGTGAAGGAAATATTTTATTATTTATTTATTTGAACACATAAATATTGGTACAAAGAGGCACCAGATACATATGCACCATACAAATCTCATTTTATTTGTGTTAGTGCTGTGATACTGCTTAGGTTCCCAAACCGAAGCAGGTGGTTTCCTTAGAGGGCCACACCCAGAGCCTTTGACTTAAAGGTCTAACCCAAAAGGCAGTGAGGCATCGTGAGGAGATGCAGTCCCATGGAAACCGGTGACCAACGACTGATTCATACGCCATTTGTTCCTTCAGGATTCTGAGGCCTATGTGCACCATTGGTTTGGAATCAGGGTTTTCCATCTCCCCTAGGTGGACTCGCCGTGTTCACCAACCCGGTTAGAGCACCAGACATTCGCTTTTCGTCCTCTCAGTTTGGTAAATAACAGTAATGCCACGAGAAAGCAGTGAGTAGGATTTTTCTGGCAGATGCTATATGTGTGTAGCCATATGAGAGCATTTCGAGACAGAGAGCGGACTATCCCCACTCTTAGCCGTACCAGGGCTTTAGGGAAAGTAGATTCATTTGAATTACTTATTATCATATACATGAATACTTTTATCGAATAAAATCAAATCATTGTATATTTAGAGTCGATTTCATTTCGACTGAAATTAATCAAAATTGAATAAGTTTAAAATGATCAAATCATTGGACTGGAAACTCAAAGTTTTCTTCTTTTGTTTTTTTTTAATCTTTACGCTTATGAATATATGAATATGATGAATATATGTTCTGACTGTAGTTATTCGATACTGCCTCTACTTTTTTTTGGAACAATAATCCTTTTGCCCAAAATTACCGATATGAAGAATGATTGAATAGATATTGAAGGAAGTGATAAATTAATGAAATGAGAGGAAAATTTCATGGATTGTTTCCAAACAATGATTTGTGAAGATGGACAGTTGCTAGAGACTGACCATTTGCAGTCCTAAAACATCGATGGGAAGATTCAAACAAACAATACTAAATGAATTTAGACTTCACCCCATCGCACAAGTAAGTGGTTATCAGGACTCAGTATCTGAAAGGATAACGTGATGGCGTTTGAAGAGAAAGGTACTGGGTTTGAGTCCCATGGTGAACGCCAATTCTGAGATGCAGGTATATACATCTGACGAGTACCAAATAGGACTAATTTCGCGTCCTGTATTCCACTGCTAGCCACTATACATCTTTGCCTACAATACTTGTGGATTTAGGCTATATCGATGCAATACACACAGTATGAACATATGTCAATTAGAGACTGACCAGTTGCAGTCCTAAACATCAATTGGACGATTCAAACAAGCAATACTAAGTGAATTTATGATTTGTGAAGTTAGTATACTTAAGTGAGCTATAAATATCGACAAAGACAACAAAAGTCGGTTTATAAGACTGTAGACCATTATCAATTGAAGTTATTACGTAGAGTTTTGTCAGTATCTACCTACTGCATAGCCCAAAGCATAAAATCATCTGACATAGTAGAAGGTTGATAACAGCACAAACTATGAAGATGGAGATATTATATGATATGATTAACGAATAATGGTCTAAGCCATGTTGATAAATGCAGATGATTTGTCAGAATCTCCTTCACACTCTTAATAACTAGTTGAAAACGATGCATTGGACATAGGATAGAATGGTTCCTATCAAAGGAGTCACATTTAGAATCTATCTACTTCTGAAATTTGGATAAAATATGATTACTGAATTTTTACACATGTAGATTTGAGGACATTACGGAACCTTTTTCTTGTAGTGTGTACCGGAGAATTTCGTCAACATCACTCGGGATTCTTACGACGGAATACATTGCAAAGTCGTGCACGTAGGACAGCTGACAGGACCATTCCAAATGAGGACTGGAGTAAGAGAGGACTGACTACTCTCACCCTCTTTTCTTCTGGTGGTCGACTGGATTAATAAGACTTTCAAATCTTAAAAGAAGCACGGAATACATTGGACAACTTGCATGCAGCTAGACAATTTGGATTTCACAGTAAACTAGCTTTTCTATCCCATATACTCCAACAAAGGTAGATCATGACAAACAGCGTTGCAGAAAACCTCTAAAGCAGTAGACCTCAATATATACAAGCGAAAATTCAAGATCCTCAAATACAACAAGCAGAACATCAACACAATCACATTTGATAGAGAAACTCAAGAAAATGTGAAAACATTCATGTACGTGGACAGCATAAACTATGATCAAGGAGGATCTGATGCACTCGTAAAGGCAAGGATTAGCAAAACAAGGGCCGCATTCCTACAGTTGAAGAACATACAGAACCTAAAACAAATGTCTGCAAAACAATATCAAAGTCACAATCTTCAAGACGATTGTCAAGACAGTTCTACTATATGGAGCTGGGAAGCATCATTGATAAACAAGGAGGATCGAATGCAGATGTAAAGGCGAGGATTGGTTAAGCAAGCGCCGTACTCCTACAGTTGAAGAACATATGGAACTCAAAAAAACTCTCAATTAACTTCAAACTGAGAATCTTCAATAGGAACATCGAAACAGTTCTAATATACGGAGCTGAAACGTGGAGAACCACTACATCCATCATCAAGAAAGTACAAGTATTTATAAACAGTTTTTGCGCAAAATACTCAACATTCACTGGCTGGATAGCATCAACAACAGCGTTTCATGGGAGAGGGCAAACCAGCAGATTCCAGCTGAAGAGGAAATTAAGAAAAGTCGTTGGAAGTGGATCGAACATGCGTTAAGGAAATCAACAAACTATACCATAAGGCAAACCCTAACTTGTAATGGTGAAGGGAAGCGGAAAAGTGGAAGGCCAAAGAACACATTACTTTGGGAAATAGAAACCGATATGAAAAGGATGAATGCTAACTGGAAAGAACTGGGAAGAATTGTCCAGGACATGATTGGATGGGAAATACTAATGTGCGACCTATACTCCTCCACGAGGGGTAACAGGCTTAGATTAGGTTAGGTTAAGATTTACTTAACATTTTCTTGATTTTCTAACTGAAATTTTGTGTAAATGAAAAAAAAAGATATTTATACTATAATAATATGCTCTTTACAGTGTAATATTAAGTTGGTATGTTTAGTTTTGAATGGCCTATTACAACTACTAAGGACAACCACAGTTAATATAAAAATCGATCATCATTACTATCTTGTTTTTTAGCGAGTTGGTTTTATACGGGATGAGGTCTCTAACTCCATGCCCAACCCTCTTCCTTTATCCGGGCCTGGGGTCCAGTAGTAGCCCCTAGAGGAGCTGGTCGGCGGTCTATGCTCCATTGAGAGTAACAGGCGTAAGTAAGTAAGTACTTTAAGTAAGTAATGTACTGAAAATAATTTCCTTACCTCCAATAAGCATAGTTATAACAGCAAATATTTTCTCATTTATTGTATTCGGTGATACATTACCAAATCCAACACTAGTTAAACTGGTTGTTGTAAAATATAAACTAGAAACATATAATGCACGTCTAGTTAAACCATTTGTTTTATTCACTGTTAAATAGGAACGATTTAATTGCATTCGTTCACCCAATTCATATAACCAACCTATTTAATAAATAAACAAAGTGTAGTGGTTGGATATACTCAATCATTTGAATATTTAATAATCATTATAAAGTATGCATATTTCCGATACAAACTATAGTACATAAACATAATACGAGATTACTTTTCTTTGTTAGTGTTTAACTCTTGTTATTTACTGAAGCAACTCCACCTGGAACCCCTTTGAAGTTACTGCAGATCCCAAGCCCGGATAAAGGAGAAGAGTTGGGCATAGGGTTAGCGACCCCATCCCGTAGAAATAAATCATATAAAAAGTAGTGTACTCGTTAAATCATTTTGATTTATTTTTTTAGGGGATCAAGTAAATTTATATCTCTATTCACTGAGTCTTCACTACGCTGCTATGTTAACAAAGAGTGACCTAAATAATGTCAATAAGCTTTTATTACAGACTGAATTAAAATGTAGTCCTCCTGATAACGGGACTAAATGTTACAGTAAAATTTAACTGATATCCATCCAATGTTGCTCGATGGTTGATCAACAGAGTTTGATCGAGAATGAATTCTAGACTATAATCGAACTCGTTACTACCTAATCACCAACCAACATGAATATATCAGTCTTGAATAAGTTCAGTCACGATCTAGATAGTCAAGTGACAATATGTATTGCTATGATATGAGATTGAATCTAACCGGCCCGACCGTTGCTGCTACCTTGACGTGGTGGTCGGGCTTGCCTATCGTGATGATCCAATCGAGCTATGCTGGCTGGAACAATCGTTCCTCAAGGTCCTACCATGCCAGACAGGTCGGTTGAAGAGCGGTGAGACTAAAAGCAGCAATCCCAAGGTCCGAAGGCGAAGTCGTACTGCTGACTGTACAGAGGTGTGAAAGCAGTAAGGTGTTTCCTTCAGACAACCAGCATGACAGCGATGCTGCCTTCCCAAAAGGAGGGGTGGGGTTAGAAAAGGTCGACCCTAAAAATGCACACCTCGCCTTATCCCACGGATTTCCGTCTCCGGCGGTAAGGACTTTTGAAGAACGGAGCTAACACGTCAAAAATCCCCCACAAAAAGGCCGTGCGTGACCGGCCTCAAGCAGATGTCCCTTGGGCACTGCGGTCACGCTCCCAGGTCGTTAAGACCAACACTAATCCAACTTCTTTTTCAGGTCCCTCAAGAAATACCCTTCCACGGTGTGGGCAGCCGGGAAGTGATACTAGCCCTCATACCCTTAACTGCACACGAGACCAAGTTGGTCGCTTTCAAATCCTTCCTACACCTAATAACTCTGTTATCTCCTCGACTAACCCTTCCCACGTCCTTTTATCGCGTCGCACCGCTAGGGCAAGCGATTCGAGTACACAGAACGTTATTCCTGGTCTCCTGAAACCACGCTCTAAACTACATATAGGAACTTTTAATGTCCGAACATTGTGCCAAATAGGACAACAGGCTTCCTTAGCTAGGACTCTAGAATCTTACACCATCGATGTGTGCTGCGTCTCCGAAACGCGCATACAAGATCCGAGTAGTGTCATTCATTTGACCGCACCTAATCAAAATAAAGTTTCATCTCGATACACGCTCCGTGTTTCTGGAAGCCCTGACGCTGCTTCCCGTGGCCTCGCTGGAGTAGGTATAGCATTAAGTCGTAGGACAGAACTAGCTCTTTTAGACTGGATCCCAGTAGACAGTCGTCTATGCGCTGTTCGACTAAACGGATCAGTAAGGACTCGGAAAGATAGGGAAACTCGTCGTTGCCTCTTCGTCGTCTCTGCCTACTCTCCCACAGACTGCAGCTCAGACGATATAAAAGATGAGTTCTACAGGAAACTTTCTGACCTTCTCCGAGAAGCTAGGCGTTCTGATGTAGTAATAGTAGCAGGTGACTTTAATGCTCAAGTAGGTAAACTAAGTGAAAGGGAAGGACACCTGGGTGGATCTTATGGTGTCATGGCGAAAAGAACAGATAATGGCGACCGTCTGTTGCAGCTATGCTCAGATAACCGCCTATTTCTTGCAAATACTAACTTTAAGCATAAGGAAAAACATCTTTTGACCTGGCGACCCCCGAATTCGTCCCAACGTTGGACCCAATTAGATCACATCGCTATCAGCCACCGATGGAGGGGCTCGATAGAAGACTGTCGCTCATTCTGGGGCACATGCTTAGATTCAGATCATGCTCTAGTGCGAGCACGTATTTGTCTGCGTCTTACTGGACGTAGGAAAGACACTGCAGGGAAGCCTCTAAGGGTTCTACTTAATGATAGGCAAGCTAAGAATATATTTCAGGAACAACTAGAAAAACAGTTAGGCAGCCATGTAAGTTGTGTCCACCCCGAGGCCATGTGGAATGACATCCGAAAAGCTGTGGAATCAGCAGTGATATCCGCTAATAAGGTAAACCATAACGTTAGGGAGAAACAATGGATCTCGGCAGCATCTACCGCATTGATAGATGCTCGTAAACTCATCCCACCTGGCTCTGAGCATAACGAAGAGCGGAGTCAACTTAATCGCAGGCTTATAAGAAGTCTACGTAATGATCGTGAACAGTGGTGGGTAGCGAAAGCAAGAGAGATGGAAAAGGCAGCGGCAATAGGTAACAGTAGGCAGCTATTCAGACTCGTTAAAGAAACCGGTATTAGGAACCCGAATATCAGTGAAACCATCTCAGATAAAGATGGGCATATTATTCATTCTCAATCCAGGAGGTTGGATCGATGGGCAGAACACTTTAGGGATCAGTTCAACTGGCCTTCAGCCACACTTCAATTACCCACGATCCCCAGTCGTCCTGAATGGCAAATTGACGTAAGTCCTCCAACCCTCTGTGAGGTTGAAAAAGCTATAGGAAATCTGAAGCGAGGGAGAGCAGCAGGCCCTGACAGGTTGACCCCTGAGATTTTTAAGGATGGTGGTCCAGTACTAGCAGTGAGATTGACTGAGGTCTTAGGTAGAATCTGGGAACTGGACGTAATTCCATCTGACTGGTCCCAATCACTGATTGTGCCAGTCTATAAGAAAGGACAAAAGTCCTCCTGTGACAATCACAGAGGGATCAGTTTGACTAATATAGTGTCTAAAATATTAGCTTCAATAATACTAGGTCGCCTAACCAAAGCTCGTGAAGAGCAGACTAGAGAAAACCAGTCTGGTTTTCGACCTGGACGTGGTTGCATAGACCAGATATTCACCCTACGTCAGGTTCTAGAACATAGACACAAATTCAGACGTCCCACAATAGTAGTATTTCTTGACCTTAAGGCGGCATTTGACTCTGTTGATCGTGAGGTTCTATGGCAATGTTTGTCACTGAAAGGAGTACCAAAGAAGTACATTAACCTCATAAAGGCTCTCTACTCGAGCACAACTGGTCGAGTTAGAGCCTATGGCGAACTGTCATCAGAACTGATTACCACAAGTGGCGTTCGTCAGGGCTGTCCACTCTCCCCATTCTTGTTTAACTTTGTCATTGACTTACTTTTAGAGATAGCACTTTCATCAGCTAAGCCTCCAGGAGTTGAACTTTTACCAGGAGGCTCACTTGTTGACTTAGAATACGCCGACGACATAGTTTTACTCGGTGAAGACGCTGACAACATGCAGAGTCTTCTGACCACTATAAGCAACTATGCAGGCATGTTCGGGATGCGATTATCTCCCTCGAAGTGCAAAATGTTACTTCAGGATTGGGTTGTATCGGCACCTGAACTAATGATAGGGAGTGAAGTAGTTGAGCGTGTAGACCACTTCACTTATCTTGGGAGTCTCATCAGCCCTTGTGGTCTGGTATGTGACGAAATCTCAGCACGGATACAGAAGGCTCGTCTAGCTTTCGCCAACTTGCGTCATTTATGGCGTAGGCGAGATATCCGTCTAGCAACCAAAGGACGGGTTTACTGTGCAGCAGTTCGCTCCGTCCTACTCTATGGCAGTGAAACATGGCCAATAAGAGTAGAGGATATTCGTAGGCTACTAGTGTTCGATCATAGGTGTCTTCGAAGCATTGCTCGTATATCCTGGGACCACCGGGTAAGTAATGCAGTTGTTAGGAAACGAGTACTAGGTAGGGATGGCAAATCGATTGATGAAGTAGTGAAACTTCATCAGTTGAGATGGCTGGGACATGTGTTACGTATGCCCGACCACCGACTGCCCCGACGTGCAATGTTTCATGGTGTAGGAGTAGGTTGGAAGAAAGCTAGGGGTGGCCAGACCAAAACGTGGCACAAATCAATGAAGTCACTGACAAGTGGACTGGGCCATGTTGGTAGGTGTAGACTACCTGGTTGGGATTCGCGAGATGACAGCAACCGATGGTTAGAGACCTTGAATGACATGGCTCAAAATCGTTTGCAATGGCGAAGATGCATCCACTCTTTGTGTTCTACCAAATTCTAATCTGAATTCCTCATGTCTTTATCTTTTTCTCTTTCCAAATTTATTTCACTGTACTATACTCCTTCAATAATTTCTTCAAACCCCTAATCTTTTGGATTTCTGATTATACTCCTACTACTTCTACCACTATGGGATTTGAATCGACAACTGCATCTCTGTGCTAATGTGGTATGGCAACTCGAACTGATGTACATACGTACGAAGTTCTACGTTGTGACTGACTGACTGAATCTAACCGGAAGCTTCAATTTTTTCAAGACTGCTTGTACATTTTGTTGACAAGTGACAACAGACAAAAAACTTTCGTCTAGAGATATCTGCCATTTGACTCACATAAACTTTTTGTTTAAAGTAAACTGTTGAATCAACTAACCACAACTCATTGTCATGACACATCTAACAATCACTAAATATCTGAATATTTTTTGTGTGGTATAGGGGCAATCTAATCGTAATATACATAATTAATATAGGTTTGTATACAGAAAGACACCATAAAATAGGAATATATATAGCAAGTTATGCTAAAGTTTGTAGGTTAAATTGGACACAGACTAATCTCAATGTGAAAATTATTGGGAAATACGGAGAACTGGATAGATCTTTCATTTTTATATGAAGCACATCAGCAGTTCACATTCACAACCTCACCAGAGATTGAATCTCGGATCTTCAGTAGACCCAATGGGTTAATATGAGTATACAATATAGAGCGACCATCTTTCGTCGAACTATTGGACTCCCATCCAGTATTTTTATCGTCTAGCGTTCACTACAGGATATGAAAGTCATAAATTCAATCATTTATGGAGTTGTAGGACCCCACTTGTTCACGGGACATAGATTGGATTAAAACATATTTCATGCGTGATGGTGTTGCTGCACGCTGATTGGCTAATTCTTACCCAATCAGCTCTAGTCGTTGCTTGGAAAAGACTCTAGAAGCTTCTCATGTAAAATCTAAAAACTATACTGACGTATTTCTTATTGCGCTTCTTACTTCCATTTATCCTTTTTATTTTGAATATAATTTCTTTCCATGTTCAACCGTGTTCTGATTTGGGGACTTGTCGAGTGTATTGGTGTCGAAGAATACTAAGTATTAAGAATAGCTGGGTCGTAATAAGAAATATAAATATATATAAATATTATATTTATTATATTTATAACAAACAAACAATACTAAGTTGAATTTAAACTTCACCCCATCGCACAAGCAAGTGGCTATCAGGACTCATTGGCCGAGTGGATAACGCGATGGCGTTTGAAGCGAGGGTACTGGGTTCGAGTCCCAGAGTGAACATCAACTCTGAGATGCAGGTACATCCAGCTGACGAGTCCCAAATAGGGCGAAGTGGCTTACACTGAGTTACGAAACATCAGAAAATCTAATTTTTCTACTGATTGGTATTGAGAAATGAATTATTTTATAGGGGTTACTTCTTTTTCCTCAAGGTATTGTGAAGGGTTTGAAATCATGTCAACTACGGTTATTGAACATATAAGTACTAGAATAGTAGTATGAGTAGATAAAAGAATTCTACGAGTTGTTTTCCCACAAGTTTTTTCGCTTTCCTTAACAATTTAGTCTATAAGGCATATAATGAATATAAATAAACCATTATTTTTGTTCTTAGAAATTGTTAAATTCCTTTAGGAATTAACAAAATACAAGTATTTAATTATTGATTGTTTTTTATAGTGAACTGTAGAGTCAAGAAATGGGTAGACTTGTTTCCATGATTTTTATCAAAGTTTATTACAACTCAGTAAATTAACTTACTTACTTACGCCTGTTGTTCATGTGGGAGCATAGGCCGCCAACAACCATTCTCCAATCCACTCTGTCCTCCGTCTTGCTTTCTAGTTCTATACAATTCTTGTTTATTCTTTTCATCTCTCTCTCCATTTCTCGACGTGTTGTGTTTTTTGGTCTTTCTCTTCTCTTTTGAGCTTCAGGATTCCATGTAGGGGCTTGCCTTGTGACGCGGTTGGGAGCTGCTTCAATGTGTATCCTATGCACTTCCAGCAGTTCTTCCTGATTTCTTCCTCCGCTGGATGGAACCTCGTTTGATATCTCCCATAGTAAGGTAGTGTGTGGGCAACGGATCCTAAGCATTTTGTGTAGACAACTGTTAATAAGCGCCTGTATCTTCTGTATGATGGCTTTCGTAGTTCTCCAAGTTTTCGTCCCATACAGCAGAACTGTCTTGACATTTGTATTGAAAATTCTGATCTTGGTATTGGTTGACCATTGTTTTCAGTTCCATATGTTCTTCGGCTGTAAATATGCTGCTCTTGCTTTGTCGATCCGCACTCTCACATCTGCATCAGATCTACCGTGTTCATCAATGATGCTGCGCAGATATGTAAAGGTTTTTAAATCCTCCAAAGCTTCTCAGTCAAATGTAATTCGATTGGTGCATGTTGTGTTATATAAGAGAATCTTGCTTCCGCTTTGTATATATTGAGACCTACTGCTAATGAGGCTGCTGCTGCTACACTAGTCGTCTTCTCCTGCATTTGTTTTTGCGTGTGTGATAGAAGAGCCAGTTCATCTGCGAGGTCTAAATCGTTCAGCTGCATAATAGCTATCCATTTTATCTCGTGCTTTCTCCTTTCAGATACTGTTGTCTTCATGGTCGATTACCAGAAGAAAGAGAAATGCTGAGAGTAAGCAACCTTGCCTGACACCGGTTTTTACTTCGGACGAGTTGGTGTGTTGTCCACCATGAACGATTTTGCAGTTTAATTCATCATAGGAATTCCGTTTGAAATACTGACAATCTTCTCAGGTACGCCGCAGTATCAAAGAACAGAATAATTGAATTCTGACCATATTCATTGATATTTCTGTTCATAGAACAAAGGCGGTGATGTATGACATCAAGATTAAGTAATGTTGTAATGTAAATCTCCAAATCAGAAGTAAATAGCTATTTATTAATCATCAGTCTTAATCATTCTCTGTTTAATTTCATTCTGTCATTAAAAACTGTTCATCATATCATTTTAATGTATTATTATTTGCATAAATAAATAAATAAATATGTTGAAACCATGAAAAAATTGAAGCTAGACCATCATGGAAAACCTGGAAGCACTGGACAGCTGTTTCATGGATACGCACTTCTGAGGAGTCCCACACTAGTACAAAACGGCAGTCCACTGCTTCCATGTTTTCCTTGATGGTTTAGCTTCAATCAACTCATGGTTTCAACTATGAAAAAAAAACTGAAATCTCCACAAAACCCCTTTCTGATATTTATATATGTATTAATTAACTTACTATATTCTCTTGTAATTTTTGATTTAAATTCTTCTTTACCAATACAATACCATCCACATGCAAACCAATGGGCAACAAGAAAGAACATACACATTAATAAACCCAAGATTACTGTACTATATTGTGAATAACGTTCAATTTTTTGAAATAATCTTGCTAATCGTAATAAACGTGCCAATTTTAATAAATGGATCCAATTACCCTTAATAAAAAAGGGAAAAAAATTGAAACACTGGTCTAAATGATCCGATTATAACATGAACAAAAAATGAAACATTTAACATTCTCAACTTGATTGATCCATCTATGGTTAGTAAAGAACAACATTGTACAAGTTATTTGTTATTATTTATTTAAACACATGATTATTGGTACAAGGAAGCACCAGATACATATGTGCCTCACAAATCTCATTTGATTTGTATGAGGGCTGTGATACTGCACGGGTGCCTAAACTGAAGCAGGTGGTTTTCTTAGTGGACCACACCCTCAGTCTTTGACCTAAATGTCTGATCCACAAGGCAATGTAGCATCGTAAGAAGATACAGTCCCATGGTAGCCAGTGACCAACAATTGTTTGTTACTCCATTTTTTCATTTAGTATACTGGAGCCCATGTACACTATTAGTTTGGAATCAAGGTTTTCCAACTCCCCTAGCTAGACTATCCATGTCCACCAACCCCGTTGAGGCACCGGACATTCATTTTTCGTCCTTTCAATTTCGTAAACAACACCCTCATCACGCGAATGCAGTGAGTACATTGTGATAATTACGTCATTTTACAATCTTTAAGATAATAATCAATGACATTTAGTGGAAATATCTCTGTTCTGTAAGTTATGCATTTGCTTACATTTCTGGGATACTCATTTTCCAACGGTTTAAGAATAGGGGGAAATACTTTCTATTTTTAATTTTATTCTAATTCTGTTACATCCTGTGGACATTTATGAATGGTAACTTTTGTGAACTGTTTATAGAGCAATATTGTACGTATATTTCCGATTGTATAATTATTAAGTAACTAAACTATTGATATTCATGTTCCTCTTATCATAAGCTTTATTTTGACCTATAGACTATTATTATACGATTTACCATTCTTCAGTTATACCCAGTCTATTGATTACTTGTTGGGGATGTCAAATCCCCAGAACTTACTTGGTAAATAGCTTAGTTTTGTAATTTTATTTTGGAAATTTGAATTTAGGTATTTTCGCGCCAAACGCGCTCTTTTTACCTTCACATCATATTTCTCACTTGTAAACTATGTTAAACGCTATTGGTCCATTGTTTCTTTGTGTGTGTTATTTACTAATGATGCTCAAGGACAATTTGTTGCTGTATAAATGCGCTTGACTTTTCCCCTTATTTGATTGTTTGTACTCGGCTGCTTACGGAATACATATATATTCCCTTACTTGCCTTGGACTTCTTCATCTAGTTAGCGGGGCCTGGGACAACAGATTAGAATAGCTTATCGTGTCATTGTGTCATTGGCTTTCGTTCGTTACCGCGGAATCGATTTAGCTCAAGCATATCATTACTATCCCCCCTATTCACAACCACATTTAACTGAATTGTGTACAAATGATATTTTCTATTTTATGGTACGATGTGGTCTGTTTGATTGGTATATAAACCCAGTATGTTTGAGAATGATGATTCATATTGCAGAGGCCGTTATTAGTTTTCTGGACTTAACTGACTGGGCTAGGCAAAAAGCAGGACTGATAAGTACTCAAGACTTCTCATACGGCTTTTTGTGTATCATTGGGTGATCAATAATTTCACTGCTCTCCAATTGACTTGAATCAGCACGTTCATATTTATCAACTGGGCAAGAACGCATTTAATCGATATAACATATTCACCTCTAATTTTTTTGGTTTACGTTTTTTCAGCGAGTTAGTTTTCTACGGGATGGGGGTTGCTAATCTGATGCTCAAGCCTCCTCTTTTATCAGGGCTTGGGATCGTCAGTATTAGTTACTGATTCAACTTTCATCACTGCAATAAATAATGCAACATTAAAAAAACACAGTAGTTAAGCGCAATTTACCCTCCTTTTTACATCCAGCTGACAAGTCCCAAATAGGACGAAACGCGAGTCTCGGATTCCACTACTAGTCACTATCTAACTTTTTGTTTATAATGCTTGTGAATTAAGGCTATATCACAGTATGCATTTATGTCAATAAGAGACTGATCAATTGCAGTCCTAAACATCATTGGGAAGATTCAAACAAACAATACCAAGTGAATGTAGGTTATAGTTATTTTTATAGTTAAAGAGTACATGATCTTCACCTGAAATTATCATATTTATTATTCCATTTTTATAAAGATGTTATGTATTTGACAGTAGAAATGTATAAAAATAAACTGAACAGTTTAATAGGTGTAAAGATTGGATCATTCATTGAAATTAGTTAAAATACCATCGATTATCAAGGGAGAAAAATAGACTGACCATTATACACTAGTTAACTAAACACTTATGGCTTACTTAGTACTCATTATCTAAGAAATGAATCCCTTAAGTTTCATAGATCATACACAATTGATAAACTGCAGCTACAAATAGAGTTACCAAGTCACAATTGATTGATCACTTGGTGGTGATCAATGCCATATGTGTCAATTCCTTTGTAGTGCTGATCGAATGCTATCGATCAACTATGAAATTGAATGATTGTCATAAGTATGGTAGACAATTACCATTTCATGATCAATTAATCTAGTGTTTTCCTTATCATGCTTTATTTTCTACCCACTACTTAACTAATCTAATTCATAAAGAAACCCCTGTACTGAATTGACTCATTGTAAATAAATAAACTAGATAACTGTCGCAATTATCAGTACAAAAACAGATAATGAATGATAAAACAAACTATCATAACAAATTCATACATATCACATATATTACTAGAAAAGATTTGCTTAGATCAACCATTATATCAAGCGCTTGTTAGATAAATCGGTAACGGATAACTATTTACCCTTGTTTATTTTTCTGTCTAGTTATGATAATTATATTTCAACTAAACTATACAATCATGGTAAGCAGAGATGGATAGTGACTAGCAGTGGAATCCAGGACGCGTGTTTCGTCCTATTTGGGACTCGTCAGCTGGATGTAACTGCATGTCAGAGTTGATGTTCACTCTGGGACTCGATAAAATCCATTTGAACGGTTTATTATTGAAATGAGTCTAATTGGAAATTATATTGTTATATCTCAAACTTAGATTCTTAGTATATCGCGTATAAGTTGAGCACTCGAAACCTAGAATCTTCCTAAATGAGAAGATAGAAGACAAGTGGAAGGAATGTTATTCAAAACACTATCGATTATGGTACAAGACAGTTAGGTATTTACAGTTTCTAAGTAAAAACGTAATCATTATTATAGTTATCCAATCCGCACACATAGGCTTATTAGCAAAGCTTATTAGAAAAGTGTATAATATAAAAGTGCGTAATATACTTCTAAAAGCTGATTGGATACAATATGTTCGGCTCTTTCTGAACATTATAGAGCTTTCTCAAGTTCACCCATGGACCGTACTCACATAAATAAATAAAATCAAAGGTTGAATCAATAAGAGTCACATAACTTTGAAATGTTACATTTGCTAATTAATTATCTTCTAAGCCTCTTTCAACATGACTGTATATTTTTGTTGTATATTGAATATCTTTTCATTTTCTCTGATTTGCCATTTCCATAATGTTGAAATTTAGCAACTAAGATCTAAACATTCAATTAGTATTGTTTGTTTGAGCAAGTGGCTATCATGTCTCAGTAGCTGAGTAGACAACGCGATGGCGTTTGAAGCGAAAGGTACTGGGTTCGAGTCCTAGAATGAACTCTGAGATTCAGGTGCATCCACCTGACGAGTCTCAAATGAGACAAAACACGCGTCCTGGATTCTACTGGTAGCCATTATCCATCTTTGCTTAAGATGTAAATAGTTTCGTGTAGAACATTCTTTTATTGATTGTTCAGTTGCAAACGCATTTTTCTTTTATGAGGATCTTCTAAATTGCTTACATTTTTGCTAAGAAATAAGTAAATTACTACCTTAAATATACTGTTAATAATGTCCTATTATTTCAAATTTATCCAAGTGCAAACTATCGTAAAGAACATTCTCTTTCATGAAGTGAAGTTTGTTGCTCATTATTGACTAACAAAATACATTGGGACAAAGTTCTTTTATTGAAGAGTGTATTTTACTTGAACATGAATATTGGTATAAAAGAGAACCGAATAAATATGCACTACACAAGTCACTTGATTAATGTGTGGGCTATGATACTGCCCAGGTGCCCAGATCGAAGCAGGTGGTTTTCTTAGGGGATGATACCCGAAGCCTTCAACCTAATAGTTTGATCCATAAGGCGTTGGAGCTACGTTACAAAATGTAGTCCCATGGTAGCTGGTGACCAACGATTGGTTCACACATCATTTGTTCTTTCAGGATCCTGAAGTCCATGTGCATCACTGGTTTGTAATCAGGGTTTTCCAACATCCTTGATGGAGCCTTCGTTTCCACAACCCGATTAAAGCGCCAGACATTTGCTTTCTATCCTCTCAATTTCGTAAACAACACACCCGGCACGAGAATGCAGTGAGTAAGACTTCCCTGACAGAAGCTATATACGTGTGGCCATGTGAGAGCATTTGGAGAGTGAGACCGGACTCTCTCCACCCTTGGCCTTACCAGGGCATTTGGAGATCTTCGTCTATTAGGGATAATAGTATAAGTCCATAATCCATTTAGATAACTAGTTCTAATGATTTCGCAATCTAAGTTTTCTTTCTATTTACATATGACTCTCCATCTTTCCATTGTTATAAATAAAATATTGTCGACAGATTGACAGTTCATTTCGCAATGTTTGATTGCTGATGTTGTTGTTGTTTTTGGGTTTTTTTTCATTATAACAAAAGAATAATGAAATTGATTAGCATTAAATTAATTAGTTGTTGTTTTAATGAATTAGAAAAATGAAACATTCAATCTTTCAATCGTTTTTCAATTATTTCTCCTTCATTATTTGTTTGATTTTGATGATGTTCAATGAATAACAAATGGATAGATAGGTAATAATAACTATTATTATAATCTAGATTATGAAGTAACCAATTTAATTTCATATGTAGTTGAAGTCATGAGTCAATTGAAGCT